TAGGCTCCTACCTTCACCAGAGAGTTCTTTTTGACTGCTGTCCTTTTTTGCCCCCTTTGTCTTCCAAACTCCCAGGTCGACTGGGGAGCAACATCTTGGGATAGAGAGCTGATTTTCCCTTTGTCTTTCAAGCCATGTGGTAGCCTGGAGGGCACCATCTTGAGGGGAGAATCTGACATCATTTCTCCCTTTGTCTCCCTACATACTGTTGGCAGTGAGGGCCTCGATCTTGGAAGGGAGTGGTACCCTGCCATTTTAGGTGTCTGGTTTTTCCCATGGAGTTCATGATGTCAGGAAAATCCACAAGCACCAGAGGTTTATGTCCAAAAAGGAGACAGAGAAGTCCTGTAAATTTATGCAAAAAAGGGAGAGGTCATGAGGCATTCCCCATGGGATGTCTCAAAATTTTTAGAGGATGCAGCCTCTCTTTTTTGCCAATTTCCCGGCCACATTCACCTCCCCCTTTCCCCAGTGGCTGAGGTACTTGAGAGATACAGACTTCCTGAAACGCCTAATAACCCCTTCAAATGTATACACACACACTCCCCCCCCCCCCCCCCCTTCCATTTTTCTTTTTCCTTGTGTCTCTGTTATTTTTCTCTAAATCCAGAGATGTAGCACAGTCTTGAGTGAGTAACAGTCTATGTCAAGTAGTGGAATTCTTTTGGAATTTGTGGTTCCTCCCATTGCTTCTTTAATCTCTCCATATCTGGCCTTATCTACCATCAGGCCCACAGTTTGTAAAGACACCTCCTTCTCATTCCTTTCAACAAGATTTAGCAATGTTGTAGATTTTTTTTACTTTCTTCAGAGGTGGGTTGTTTGTTGTTTTGGGGGGGGCTTTGCCTATTGCTGTTTCACTTGTTGGTAAACTGTTACTTTTTTCACTTATATCTACTTGTATTCCTTCCTTATTGGAGGAATAGGAAAGGAGTAAGTTAAAACTAAGGAGAATTAGTTACAAAAGTGTCATCAACATGTGGCAACACTAATTTAGTCAAGTGGGTGTGGTTAAAAAATGAGGGAAATGTCAAAAATTATGTTGCATTTCTGTGCTGAAGTATTTAGGATCTTAATGGCTAAAATATCCAGACTGGCAATAAATTCATCCTTAACTTGAAGTTTTCCTTAATTCTTATTAAAATCAGTGGACTTCATAAGCATGTTTTAACTGGGCTAGAACAGAAAATGTGTTGAAGTCCTTTGAAAAACCAACATCCTATACATATAATGTACAGATGTTTTGTTTGAGGACATAAAAAAACTACAGGGATTACTTTTCTGTACTTCAAGCCTACAGTGGTGGTGATCAGACTGAGCATTCCTTTCTGCATGTAATGAGATTTCCATTCCACCAGTGCAATTGAACCAAATAAAAGTTCATTTGTCAACTAGTCTAGTTGTGACAAAGTGGTTTTGTGTAAAAGAAAAATCCAAGTGAATAGGGTCGCTGCAGCCTCCTCTCCCCTCTCTGTAAATATATTCATTCCTTGCAACTCACAGGCTATTGTAGAATGAAGGAAATAACTTTTTGTGGCCATGTCATATTAAAATATTAACAACTCTAGCAACATATACCATACTTGAGGGAGTTAATAATTCATTTCCCCTCTAGTGGGCCTATCTTCCATCTGCCTTCACTATTGTCCTGGTTTGGGACAAATTTGGGAGGAAAATTTTAAAGTGGTCTTTTTTAGAAACCAAATTTAAGCAGCCCCTCTCCCAACTGGTTTGGGAAAGATTTCTTTGGAGAAAAGTGGAAAAAAACTGCCAAGTATTCACAAGCAGAAAAAAAATAATAATACTAAACAATAAAACCTCTCGCTGTTCTGAAGAGATGGCAAATTCAGAAAGTCCTTGTCATAGGGTGTAGCTCGGCTCACTCAGTCTCTTATCAGTCCCTCCTGAGCTGAAAAATGCTGCATCCTGGGCCCCATGGGTCACAGGCACAAACTCCTGGTGTTTTTTTGGGTTTTCAATCCAGAGCAGGGCCAATCAGTTCCAAGAAAAAGAAAAGCCATTGTCCGGGGAACTTCTCTGCCTCAGCTAGTTAAAAACTAAGTAAAAGCAAAGGAGAGCTTTCTCCCGCTCCCTGTCCATGCTGAGGACAACACACACTGAGAGAGAGCAAGGAATGCGCGGGAGCAAGTGAAGTTTCTGAAAACAAACTGCATGCTTCTTCTCACCCCAGCTTCACTCTCGGAACCAGTCTTAAAGGTGCAGAACTTAAAATCCAGCATAAACAGAACAGACAATTGGGGATACCTGCACCATAAAGTCCCCCTAGGACAACTACCTTCTGTGCTGTCCATTAGAAGCGAACTGTAATTTCAATCATGGAAACTTACAGATTTTCAAGCATTGAGTCTTTAACCTGAAGGACTTGGTGAATTTGCAAATAAGGGGAAATGTTCAAAGACTCAGAATGGAAGCTTGCTTACCGAAACTGTACTGAAGACACATGATATATGATACATACAGAGTAAGTTTAAAACCTCTTGCCTATATCCCAGAGACAGAGACCATAAGGCAGACAGAAAAGCATCACTGAAAAGACTACCGTTCTCTGAGAAACAAAAAAAAATACAAAATTGCCTTTAACAGCATCAGTTGCAGATACTTTGAATTATTTCTGGAAAGACTTGGAGCCATCATGGCTGACACACTCTATGGGAGAGATTTAATGAATCACAATGGTCTTCCTTATCTCTGCTTTCTTAAACATTTTTCCCGAGTATGATTGGAAAAAGGTATCTGCAGACTGGAATGAAGCAAAGAACACGTTGCACGTGCTCCAGGTCTCCTACTTCTACACTATGGAATGCATCCCTCTTGTCCAAAATGCTCTTGAATGTCTGACTCAGCAAATCCAAATGATCTCTGGGGGAGACGAGCTTTGCAGGGATCACAGAATCACAGAATGGGTAAGGTTGTAAGAGACCACAGTGGGACACCTAGCTCAACCTCCCTGCTCACACAGGGTTCCCTAGAGCACATTAATCAGGAATAGGTCCTGATGACTTTTGAAAATCCCCAGGGAAGGAGTCTCCACAACCTCTCTGGACAACCTATTCCAGTGATCAAAAGAAGTTCCTTTCCATGTTCAGGTGAAACTTCCTGTGTTCCAATTTCTGCCCATTTCTTCTCATCCTGTTGCTCATCACCAAGAAGAGCCTTGGTCCTACCTCTTATGTCCTTCCGTCAAATACTTCAGGCATTGATAAAATTCCTTTTCAGTCTGCTCTCCTCCAGGCCAAACAGTCCTGCTCCCTCAGGCTCTCCTCATGAATGAGGTGCTCCAGTACCCTCCTCATCTTCACTGCCTTCCTCTGGACTTGCTCCAGGAACTCCATGTCTTCCTTGTACTGAGGAGCTCAGGACAGGTCACAGCACTCCACGTACCGACTCACCAGGGCTGAGTAGAGCAGCCCTGAGTAGAGCAGCAGGATCACTTCTTATGACCTCCTGGCCACATGCATTATGCACCCCGAAGATATCAGTGGCTCTCTGCTACAAGGACACACTGTGGCAGCCTATTGAACACCATGACCCGCTTCAGAGCAAGTCAGCACCCAGCCAGTACTGGTGCATGCAGTTCTTTTTCCCCAGGCACAGGACCCTGCTCTTGCCTTATATGAATTTCAGAAGGTTTTTCTCTGAACAAGTCTCCAGCCTGTCGAGATTCATCTGAATGGCAGCACAACATTCTGCAGTATTGGCCACTTCTGGATCCAATACTTATGCCTGGGGGACACCACAGGCCTCCAGCTAGACCCCATACCACTGATCAGAACCCTCTGAGACCTGCAATACAGCCTGTTCTCAATCCACTTCACCATCTGCTCATCCAGTTCACACTTCCTGAGCTTGCCTATCAGAATGTCACGGCAGACAGTGTCAAAAGCCTGGCTGAAGCCCAAGAAGACCACATTCACTGTTCTCCCTTCATTTATCCAGCCAGTTATCCCATTGTAGAAGCAATCCTCTCCAATTTGGCTTCTTCCATAGCTATGACATGACAGTAAACCACTGAAGTTCATAAAATATAAATCTGTTAAGTGTTAAAAAACCCTAACTAATTAGCCAATGATCTGGTATGAAAAGATAGAAAGTCCAACAGTCCTTTAGTGAACCGCAATAAACTGTGCTTAAGATTGTCGTGAATAGTACATCACAAAGTGGAAGATTAATTATTATGTAAGTAAGAGTTGAACACATGTATCATATCAGTCTAAACAAAGAAGAACCAAACATTTATGGCACTAGCCCACACACACTAACATAGTTTGTTTCCCTGACATAAAGATGTCTCTGCATTAATAAGAAGGCTAGAATTTAAGCTTCTATCAGACAAGCCAAGTGCACTGGAAATCCTTCATGCATTTATTCATCACATATTGCACCCAGCTGTATAGCAGAAAGTGTTTTACATATGAAGAACTGAAGCAGAGATCACATAGCTATTTAGCCACCTAATCTGCGTGCAGCATAACTGAGTCTATTCCTAAATGATTTTAACTGGGTCATTCATGATGCTTGCTCTGGAAACAGTATTTTTTCCTTAGCATACAGTGTTGAAATCATTTCAGTCTTACATTTAGTCATGGCAATCTGCCCATTTGAGAATTGTCATTTATGAAAAACCCTCTAACAAGGGTTAACTGTGGCCCATTACTTGTTCCCAGCTTTTTCTTAGGAATGCAGAGTAATACATTTTTCCACAGCTCTTTAGCACCCTCTATTTTCTTTTTCTAATCAAAATGTCATTCTTTTTTAATTGCTATGACGTTGAAAAAATCAGACTATATGCAAAAGCTTTTTCAAATACAGCATAAAAATAAGGATCAGTAATGCAGTGTGTAACCAAAAAGCAAGAAAAACAAGAGAAGGTTATAAGTTTCCATACCATACCAAAAAAAGGGTTAAGAGGAAGAAACCAAAAACATGAAGGGACACCAAGGGACACGAAAGTGATGCGAGTATTTTAGGAGGCATCGGTGTGAAAGTGTTAAAGAGTATTTATTCTATGGTTATCTGATTGATCACATCCTATACTGGATGAGAAAAAGAAAACAAATCAACATGTCATCAATGGCAAACACAAATATAAACCCTGATTGATTAGCATTAACAAAGACAGTAACCAGAAAAAAAAGAACTGAAAATATCTGTTTGCATTAATTGTTGGTTGGGCTATCAAGAAACAGCAGGCTACGTTGGTTTTGGCTGTGATAGAATTTGTTTTCTTTATAGTACCTCGTATGTGAGCTCATATGTGAGGTGCTATGTTCTGGATTTATGACCAAAACAGTGTTGATAACACAGCGATGTTTTTATTATTGCTGAGCAGCATTTATATAGCATCAAGGCATTACTCCCATACTGCCCCACTAGCAAATATGCTGGGAGTGCACAAGAAATTGGTAGGGACACAGCTGGGACAGCTGACCCCAACTGACCAGAGGGATATCTGTATCATACAACATCGCATTCATCTCAGGGAAAAGAAAGAGGAAGGAAAGGGCATTTGGAGTTATGCAGTTTGTGTTCCCAAGTAAGTGTTATGCATGATGGAGCCCTGCTTTCCTGGAAATGGTTAAACACCTATGCTCATGAGAAGTAGTGAATGAATTCCGTATTTTGCTTTGCCTATTAAGATGTCCTTATCTCAACCCATGATGTTTTTCACTTTTACCCTTCCAATTCTCTCCCCCATGCCACCAGGTGTGAGTGAGTGAGCAGCAGCTTACCAAGGTCAACTCACAACATAGGCAAAATGGGACTTTGCAAATAGTAAAGATGCAAACCTTAGCATGTTGCAGGCAGTGGGTGGAAATATGACAATTGATGAGGCAATGTGCAGGGCAAGAGAGAGCAGGGAGGAACAAAGAGGGAGTAGGTAGAAAGGTCTATAAACAGTCAATACACTCATCACTGCAAGCCTATTCTACCTTCTCATTGCCACTGCCTCTCCTTCAGCCTTCTCTTGAGCATTTGCATCTCCATGGACAAAAGATCCATTGCTCCCTTAATGTCAATGCCCCTTGAAAAAAAAACCAAACCAAAAATCAAACCCAAATCCTTAATGTCAATGCCCCTTGAAAAAAAAACCAAACCAAAATCAAAAACCCAGCACTTCTGACCATGACAAGCTACTTTATAGAAGAAACTCCCAGTCTCATTTGGCAGCATAGACTCAATCACTAAAAAAAAGCTGTATGGTACGTGCCAGAGTAACAAATAAATCACACATGGAATAAGGAGGAAAGTACCTCAGAAAATAACCAGGAGGTAGAAGCAGGAGTAGTACTCCTATGAGTGAAATTCAGGTATCCTCTTGGCTGCTTGGCATGAGAGCATACACACAATCTTACCATGTCTGACACCATGATAACACAGGTTGTACAATGTTTTCTAGCCGGAAAGGGAAAAAATGCGATCCATGGATAACTTGTTCTTTATTTCACACCAATTGCTGTGCTCACACATCCTCATATGATATTCATTCTGTACACAGTGATTTTCACTACCCACATTAACAAAGTAATCCAGACTGTTTTGCTCATCCTCCCAGGCCAAGAGTTAAACAAAGAGTAAGCACAAACACAGCTACTGAGGTATGTTGGAGCAAGCGTAATCAAAAGATTCCTACTGGAACAGAATTCAATTCCGTACCACTTCAGGAGGGCTGTGCATACTTGTCCAGACAAATACCAATCAGGCACCCCTCCAGAAGGCTCTCCTGTTTCATGGAGGTATGATAGCTTGCTCAGAGATCCCTTAACTTGGATTGCATTGCTCAACACTGAATACACACAACAGCAGCTCCAAAGGTGAATTCTACCTTTAGTTTTTTGAGAAGACTGAAGTATTTAATTCAGTGTGCTTTTGGGATGTTTTGAGCTGTGGCTAAGACAAATTTCAGTTTTGCTCCTCCTATGAGTAAGATATACCAATGCTCCCCAGCATTGTGTCTTTCACAGCATATAACTATTCACAAAAATGGCTGTCTGGATGAGGAGGAATTTTGAACACTTTCATAAATATTGAAAAAATGTACATCGGATGGCTGCATCTAACAGTGTCTCACATCAAAATACTTCAGCAACTCAGGAAAGATTTCAGACTTCATGAAAGAGGCCTCAGGCTGGAAAATTACCAAGATTCCAAAACACTCAGGCAATTGCTGGAATAAAATACTGAAGTGAAACCTCCTCATGGAGCAAGATGAAGTGGATAATTCTCTTATGTACAATATCTGTGAGAAAAAAAAAATTAAAACATAAATTCACCTCAAAGCAGGAAAAATACTTTAAAATTACATCTTTTAAGGATGTCACCATAAAAACAATGCTTCCACCACTTCTGACAGAGGGGTAACTAGACAATTTAAATCCTTGAGGGTCTGTGAAGCATTAATAGATTACGAAAGATGATACCAAAAAGTAAATACATAGTGTATATGTTCATTAATGCTACACCAATTATTTAAATCTTCCTTGGGAAATTCTTAGTATCTGCACTAAGACTAAACCATAACAAACAGATGTTCTCAGGAAAAGCACAGTTATAAAAATAGGATAGAAACCCCTGCATAGACTTCTGCTAGAAAGGAAGTATTGTTTTCTATGGCTAGAAACACTAGGTGTATAAAAAGCAATTTAGTATTAGAATCAGTGTAAGAAAACATCCAAAGGAAAAAAACCCAGCCAAAAAAAAATGCCAGTAAATTCCAATTTCTCTGCTAGAAGCTAGAGGCTTTAAGACTTTCAAAAAATAGTATCTCAAAATAATAATAAACATTACTAACAACTTTAAAACAAAGACAACAAGACAACACACATGATTAGTGAGGCCGAGTATTCAGCTTGAGACTTTTAAAATAGCCTGACTTATTTTTTCTTTCCCAAATGCCTAGGACCTGAATCTAACTGCCTAAAAATATAAATACTGGAAGTCCTCAGGGACAGTAAAAATACTGACTTCCAGACAGACAAAAATGAAGAGTGATATTCTGCTGAAACTAAGTATGGCAAATGACCCTACTGACTGGAGTTCACAAGTATAGCTGTTGAACTTACTGCACAATGCTTTTGTAGGATTGACTTGCTGTCCAGCAAGCAGCTGCTGCAGCTTCTTGATGTCTATGCATGCTTCAGCCATACTTTCCAGATCTCTGCCTTGAGCAGAACTTTGACATCCATCCTCTGATGCTAAAAGAGTAAGAACACAACACTTAGTCCAAACATAAAAAGTAATTTCAACACCCATAAGGACATACCTGAAAACTGCTGAAGTGCTGGAACTCAACTGGTTCATTTTCCAGAACAGTGCAAGGAAAAGAAATCCCAGTTTTCCTATCAAACTGTCAAGAATAATGGAAGAGATTCCCCTCCACCACCCCAAACATGAAACAGACACTCCACTGGCCACTCCATTTTTCTTTTAAGATTTCATTTGAAGACTTCAAAGTACTTGATGCTATTTTCTAAAGAATAAAGGTTAAAAAGTACTGTTATAAGCAACACAGAAGTAATGAGATCAGACAGACACAAGAGGTTAACAGGGAAACTTACCCCAGGGAGGATTTCCCAGATCTTTAAAATGTGTAGTTACAGATACTAAGTCAGTTTCTATTTTCAAGTTCATTTCACCACTCAAGTTTGCTTCAATCACCTGCAATCAATCTCAATTTTAGGCAATCCACTTTCACACTGCAGAATTACAGAAGAATACAGTTTGGTTTTGTTCAAATACAAGCTTCCAGGAGTACTTCAGTACAAGTCAACCATACTTTGCGAAAATGGTTGAACATTTGAATGTTCAGCTATAAAATGCATTTCCCATCATTCCCATGTGAATTACTCTAGACCAAACTTTCAGAAGTTATGAAAAGAAAGAAATTTAATTGTTCTCCAGTACTTTTAGAACAAGTATTAGCTTTGGGAAGTTCATGTGCTGAGGAAAAGACTTCAGAAATAAGAGACTGAAGCTGAAGAAATGCAAAGATTCCTGAATTTCCATTCAGTTATTCAACAAATAGAAAGGCACCTACACAGTCTATATGACACACACAGAAAAGGGGATGCACCAGGAGCTGACAGTGCTGCTTTCAAGAATTTAAAATAGACAACAACTGGATCAGATCAGTAACTCCAAGAAGGATTTTGAACTGACAAAAATCCTGGAAAAGTGCTAAAAGCTTTCGAATTCCATCCTGTAAACTGGAAGAAGGAATTTGAAGGAGACTACATATGGTCTTACACAAATCCCAAGCAGATCAGAGGATTCCTAAAGCACAACTAAGCACTTTGCTTCTGTGATTAGATGAATTTTCAGTAATTAAAAAAAAAAAAAAAGACTTGTACTGCAACCAGAATCTTGTATAGAATGGCTCCAAACAATGGACAAGTACTATCAGAAATTGCTTCTAAGCCCATTTTGCAGCACTGATCTTGACCAGTTTTATTACCAGGATGCATCTTGCAAAAATAATTAATTGTGACACTTGATGCTTTTGTTTTCTAACAACATGAAAGCAAGGCACTTAGTGTAAGTTCAATCCCATCATACAACTATCCTGTGTGGGAAAAGAGCCTCAGCTCTAAACAAAAGCACTGCGCTCAATTTTGCATAAACATATCCACCAAGGACATGGGGGAAGGAAAGAAAATAAAAACAAAGCCCAAAAAATCTCACAAAAGAAAAGAGTTTGATGTGTATTTTCAGGATGGCTGCCATTTGCAAAACTGCCAGTAACCCAGGGTAATCTCTCAAGTCTTCCAAGTCTTGAAAAACTGAGACTGTTCCAATTTCAGGATTCTCAGTTAACAGAAAATTTCCTATTTATCAAAACTGGTATGAACAGCATCAAACCCAATCTATTTCAAAGCTCCACATTTACTTACTAACTTTCATGTCAGTCAGTTATGGTGACTGTGAGCACAAACAACTAAGTAAAAAACTAAAGCCCTTTTCTGTTCAACTGCAGAGGGCTTCTTTCAGTTAAAAGGCCCACCAGCACTCTAGAAATCCAGGGTAGAGTGCAATTCCAACATGTCAGTCTAAAGCACAGGGGCTGTTAGCAGCATTTCCTTTAAATCCTATGTCAAGTTCACCTGAAGTTCATTCACAGACACCTAACACGACACTCGCTTAATAGGCATTTCCTTAATGAAATAGTCCGGAAAGTCTCCAATTAGCTTCCTGAAGGACTGTCATTTCTTACCAGCTATAAAGAGTAGTTTGTAGCAACACAATGCCATGTTCTTTCATGTATTTAGTATAAAGAGCATCATTTTCTGAGAAACCCAGGAAAAGCTCTTCGGTGTAAATCCTAAAATAAATCCCATCATTTTATTCAGGCTTTACACAGGCTTCAGGTGCCTTGATTTCAATGTCTAAGTCATCTCAAAATAAGATAATGCAGCAGCACCAGTTTAGGCAACCTGTTATGTCCCTCATGAAATAACATCTGTAGCATACACGGTTTAAGTGCCTTAACTTACAATGAAATTGCTGAGATTCTTCATTCTTTCCACAACACTCTTCATTGTTTTCAGCACTGGTAGGTAAATACTGACCTAGGAATACATAAGAACTGCATTTGCATAAGTATTTCAGATGTGATTGGGACACATTTATTTCTACTTTCAATTCTATCATAGTTTGGACAGTGTTATCTATGGCTTTCAGGGTGCACAATATCTATATGAAATCAGCAAATGTCTCAGGAACAGAGGAACTCTTTCCCATTATACCAACAGGCCATCATTCTAGCAATTGTTCCAGACTTAACATTCCAAGTCTATGTTCAAAATAGAGGCATGTTTTTCCAGATCAGACTCTCACATGAACATTTGTGCTACTAAATAGTCAATTACTATAGCCAAAAAGAAAATAACAACATTCCTATGATACTGCAGTAATTGCTGGAACTGCAGCAGTGTAAATCTGAAATAAAAGAACAAAATACTGAAAGTTTCTTCGTGCTCATCTTCAGAATCTAAATACTCTTAGCTATAGAGGTAACAGACATCCATAACCTCAAACAGGAGCACATTTGTACAAGGACCTTTCTTTACAACTCAGCTAAAAGTCAAAATCAGGAGGAAACACATATATCTTTAACTCTGCCAGATAGGCCATAAATTTCAGAAATAACAGATTATTTGGGTCATTTGGCACCTGAACAGCTGAAACAGTCTAAACTTGTGTGGTTTAGAGATGTTCCAGACTAAAGCCATGCAAGTCCTTTTCTCCTCCCTTCCTCTGCCATGAACATCACAGAAACAATTGGCAACCACCTGCTCTGTTTCCATAGGTTCTGGGCTCCCTTGTCAGGATAGAAGCCATGTTCCATACCCCTCCAAAACTGTAGCCTCCAGTCTGTCCTCTTTCCTTTCAACTCCTTTCCAAACCCCACCATAGTATACTCTATAGCAATACCATTCCACTTGCAAACTCCCCTTTCAGAAGGGAATATAAAAGCAGAGGCTTACATCAAAGTCTGGCACGCTGGGCTCTCTGAAGTCACTCCACATTCTTCTGGGAATAACTCCCACAGGAATGTCATGTGTCACAACCCTACTGCTGCTTGATAAGGATGGCTTGAAGGAAAAAGAGGATGCTTTTGCAGTTAAACACAAGATTGGAATTCTAAATTTAAATTTTTCAGACCCACTCTGGGAAATGCTATAACTACATGCCCAACATTCAGTTCCAGTTTTCCCTCAGTTCTTATCAATATGCTTTTAAGTCAGCTTCCCTTTCAAATGAGGAAGAGTTTGTGATGTATCAGTCATTAGTGTATCTATAAGCTATCCTTAGAGCTGAAGAGGTGAATCAGCGGAGTTAACAACAACAAAAGAATCAGAAGTTAGCATACAATATCAGGAAAACCAAAGGCAAAACACAGAGCCAAACACTGAAACCCCCTTCACCTAATGGCTTCAATAAAAAGGCAATAATCAGCAGAAATTACAGAGGATGAAGGAATGGAGAAAAGTAGACATTAGAAAAACTTGTTCCAATAACATAGCTTTCTTCTTCTACCTCCTCCTTGCCTTTTGGAAAATACAAAGCTGGTTCTGTATGCTACCAACCACGATGGCAAGAAAGGCTAGTGAAACAGAAAATGGCACAATGTTTCTTTAGTTTTCTAGAATTATACCATATATAACCCTTTGATCTTAGGAAATGCACTAAATTTTAGAGAACTTCTTCTTAATAATGAACGTGAAAGCATGGTTGCACTTACTAGCTCCACAGCAACTCTGAGACAGGGACAGTGTTTATTAGTCAACTTGATCTTCACTGCCTTAGCACTCTGGGCAGTTTTTAATGCTCTCCATAGGTTCTCAGGCACAAACTCTAAATAGATTTCATTGTGCTCCGCAGCTACTCCTTCCATCTGAAATTCATCGAAGAAATTCCCCTACAATTTTTGAAAGTCAGGAAATAAAGCAAACAAGAGAGGCAAGTTTTATTTATCGGACCTTAAGCTTAGAACTGCATTTGTACACCAGAAACCCCGCTCTGCCGCACATCACCTGTGGAATCACAACCCTGAAAACTCATTGCTTCAGGCTAAGCCATTTAACCAACTCCCCTAACACCTAATCAGTCCATTAGACAGCGAGTTATGCTTTCCTGTTTCCAGTTTTGGGGCAGGGCCATGTGGGTCAGCACACACTGAAGCTTTACACTGAAGTAACAAGGAAAAGGGAGTATCCAACCTGAAACACCCGTGCAACCAGACAGACCTTGAGAGACCTGGCACATCGAAGGTGAGGGCTACGAGAAATGCCTCGTACATCAAACCCAATTGCATGCTCTGGTTTTCAAAATGTGATTTCTGAACTTTCCTGGGCTCACCTGGCTCAGCTCACACCACATACTGGCGCCTCCATTTGCTACTTTATCGGAGAGGATGAAATACAGCTTGCAGACAGTCAGGCGCAGGATGCAGGTCTTGGCTAACTTGGCGATTGTGTTAATTATACCTGCCGGAGGGAGGGAGGAGGATGTTACAGCGGTGATCACTCCGTGCACCCCAGTCTCTGCGGGACAGAAAAACCTTCAGCTTTTACAAGCGCAGCTCGTGCTGCTTCGCAAACTCCTAAACACCTCGAAGCGAAGGAAAGCGCCTCATGCCACGTCCTCCCAGGAAAGCACTGTGGTCCTCAATTCCCTTCCTCTATTCTTTGTCCGAGAAAGCCGGCCCCAGCTGCTCAGAGAGGCACTGCCACCCTTGAGCCTGCCCCGACATACTCACGGCTGAAGTGGTTGAGGCAGGCAAGATCCACGATCTTAGCCCGAAATCGCATGGCGACGCCAGCCCCCGCAGCCCCTTGCCCGCCGCCACAGAAGGCGGCCCGAGAGGGAGGGAGGGGCCTCACGCCCAACAGCTCCGGGCCGTCCCCGGATGCGCGGCGGGTTGGGCAGGGCCTAGCACAGACCGACCGGGCTAACTTCCGCTGCGGCGGCGGTCGTCGCAATCCGGGCTGAAAAGCTTTGGCACCCCCGGAACACACGTGAAAATTCGTCTGTATGGGTCGCAGTCCCGATGTCTCGAGAAAATTCTTTTTCAAATCCAAGGGAGCCCTTGCAGCAGACGCCATCAGCCCCTGGCAGGGGCCAAGCTCCGACACTGCCCCACAGGACGCGGTGGTGAGGAAGGAAAGCAACGGTCGTGTTACAAGGTGGAGCGAACAGCTTCGTGACGGGCCTTTCCACTGCCTCATTGTTACCAGGCCACTCAGAAAGGGCTGGGCAACCGAAAGTGTTTTGAGAAAGATACTCTCTGTCAGGTCGGGCACCTCATGTACCCAGGCTCCCAGCTTAACGCATGGTGTACATGGGTTTATGCAAAGGTTGGAATAGGTCAAGAAAATAGAAAGGGAAGGAAAACTTTGCTTTGCCTAGTAAATGTGCAGCATGCCTGTTTCCTATAGACGGTGTCCTTTACCTTAATGGTTTTGGTTCCTTGCAGTCCTTCAAAACTACAGCATTTGCAGAGACAAATCCTGACAGGCCAAAAAAAAAAAAAAAAACAAAAAACCAACACTAGTTTTCTAATGTTCTTATTTGGTCTGTCAGGATTGTCTGGTGTTCTTTTGTCACATTGCAAGTTCCACAGATCAGCTAAATTGCCTCTCTAACATTTAATTTTGAAATATTCTTGGGATACTGCTCACATGCCTTGATGCTCTCTTGCAATTGTCACTATGAAGAAAATGAAAAGAAATAACCTTGGGTCTGTATAGTGACAGATACAGCAATAGTTTCTGGAGAGGTTATTCTCTCCTCGTATTTCTCTTAGGCCTCATAAATTTTGTAGAAAGAAGCTGAAGATTTTCCCAGAGAAACCAGTGCAGCAGGGTGTCACAAATTCTCATCTTGAATCCTGCCAACTATGCCAATTTGTCATAAATATTTGGTTTAGGGTCACTCAGAGAATCATCATGAAAGGTATTAGCAAAAGTTAATATACATTTATAAAAGTGTGACGTAAAGTTCAATGACAAGATTCACTCCATCATGGATGAAACATACAAAAAAAATCTAGTTAGAATAATTTTAGAATTATTTACAGAGAAAAAAAGAGTAAGGAAGACTCTCCTGTTGAATCACAAATTCAGACTATACCCTCTTACTTTCTAAACTCCTCATAGAGCTTAGGTGCAGCTTGGGCCAGTCTGAGCTTCAGACTTGGACAATGAAGTTTAGAACTAACAGAATTATCCCCAACTTTTTCATTAAATACTGGTCCATTAGCCTTTTGTTTTGTGAAATGTGGCTGCAGAAGATTAAGCCCTGATGGTGTGAAATTCCACACATTAAACTTTGCAGTTTAACACACTTTCCATCTTTCATAGACATAATTGCAGACTGCTTTTAGTGAAATGATTGCTACATGAAGGTTAAGCAGGAATTTGCGGAAGGATGGTTGATCTAATCCCTTTCAAGTTGTTGCATCCTGATTGATACGTGTGGATTGCATAAGGTTTAAGAGATCCACATAATTTGCTTTTCTGCCTTTGATTATGGTTTCCTGGTTTGACCCTGGCCAAATGCCAGGCACCTACAAAAGTCACTCACTGACCCTCCCCTGCCACAGCTGGGCAGAGGAGAGAAAAAATAAAGAAAGTGCTCGTGAGTTGAGATAAGGACTGGGAGAAGACACTCCAAGGGCAAAACAGGCTCGACTTGGAGATACCAAGTAGATTTATTACTAATAAAATCAGAGGAGGATAATGAGATGTACAATAAGCTCTTAAAAACATCTTCCCTCAAACCCTCTTTCCTTCCCACTGACAGTGCAGGGAGACAGGGCATGGGGAGTTTTGGTCAGTTCGTCACCTGAGATCTGCTGCTCAGAGAGAGAGGGGTCCTTTCCCTGTGAGACTGTGGAGTTCCTTCCATGGGAGACAGTTCTTCATGAACTTCTCCAGCATGGGTCCACTCTCATGAGCAGCAGTCCTCCCAAAACTGCTGCGGCAAGGGTCACACTTCAATAGGGTGCAGTCCTCTAAGGATAGGCTGCTCCAGCCTGAAAGCAGGGGTCCCGTCTCCCCACTGGCTCTTCCACTGGATCACAGCATTCTCCAGGAATCCACCTGCCCTGGCATGGGCACCTCCCCCACAGGCTGCAAATGGTTCTCTGCAACCCCTGTGGATCTGCATGGCCTGCAGAGGAATCTCAGCTTCAGTTCCTGGAGCACCTTCCTCCTTCTCCTTCTTCACTGACTTTGGTGTCTCCATGTTGTTTCCTTAACATGCTCTCACCTCCTCTTCTTCTCTAGCTGGAATTCAAACTAGGCCACCACTTTGTTTTGATTTTCTTCTTAAACATGTTATCACAGAGGCATTACCGTCATTTCTGATTGGCCCAGCCTTGGCCAGTGGCATATCTGTCTTCAGAACCATCAGAGACTGGCTCTGCTGGACAGGGCGGAAGCTTCTAGCAGCTTTTCACAGAAGCTGTGGCCTCCCCGCTACCTAAACCCAGGCCATGCAAAACCAACCCAGCTGGACAGAAGTTTGTTCTCTAGCTTGTTTTCTAGATATGGTCTGTTGTTAACAATGCTTTATAACATCTGAAGGTTAGGCCACAATGAGAAGACAGACTTTATGTATACAAAAAATTTCCATTGCTTGCCCTAAGTAATAAAGAATGGGGAATTAATAACCAAGATGGGCATCAGAAATAAATTGCTCTTGCTCTCATCACAGTTGACTGACAGGCTCTACTTCACGGGTTCAGGCCAGGCAGGAGCCATTTATTACTACTGTAATAAATGTAGGCTGTAGGAGAAAAGGCACATTAACAGAGGTTCAGTTCTCTATCCATACTGGCTTAATATGGAAGTGGTAGGGTATATCACATTGACAGCAGATACAGACAGCTTTGTGAAATGGCAAAGCAGCACTGACAGAGTAGGAAACCGTCACAGCAGTTGTACCCCTCTTCTCCTAATAACTCAGAACCTCTGTGCTGTCTGTGGATCTTCTCAGCCTGTGTCCTGGCTCAGGGCAAATTTGGGAGAAAACCTCCAAAAGGGGGCCCCCCGAGAAGGCAAACCCACATGACCCCTCCCCCCAGCCGGTTTGGGAAAGATTTCCTCAGAGAGAAGTGGAAAAAAACTGTTTATCTAGCAGGCCAAGCACTCCCCAGTACACAAAATGAACAATACCAGATGACAAAACTCATTCGCTATTCTGAAGAGATGACAAATTCAGAAAGTTTCTTTGGTGGGTGGTCACTCTGTTATCAGTTCCTCCAGCGCTGGGAAAGGCTGTGGCCCAGAGTAGACCCCGGCAGGCTACGAAGTGCAAGCTCTCGGTGTTTCCCTGGGTCCTGGTCTGGAGCAGGTTTAAATGATTCCAAGAAAACAGAAAGAAAAAAGTCCAGGGAAAGCTTGGACTGCCTCAGCTAGCTAAACTAACTAACTAAAAAGCAAAAGGAGCACAGTGTTCTGCCCTGTGTGTGCCCAGAAAAACAACAGTGTGCTCTCTCTTCCAGCAGACCGTGGAGGAATAAGTCCAGTCCCTGATAAAAAACTCCATGCTTCTTCTTCTGCCCACCTTTGCTCTCAGCTAGTCTTGAAGGTACAGAATATAATATCCAGCATAAATAGAACACCTGATTGGGGATACAAGCATCATAATGTCACCCTAGGACAGCCTGTCATCCTCTTGCTTGTGACACTGCTATATCCGTTGTCAACTTTTAGGTCTGGAGAGTCCTGCTGCCACACAATTACTTGTTGTGATCACAACCAATTTCTTCTACAGTGTTTGCTTGGTTGATTTATTTTTTCCAATTTTTCTATAAGTTATTTACATAATAAATGGATTATACATGCATTTGAAAGTTCTATGTTTTCAAGCCTGTCTAAATAACTTCAAAGTATAATTAGGGAAGAAGGCATTCACACTGCTTAGGTTGCTTGATGGAGAGACAAAGTGAAGTAAAAATCTGATAATGTCAACTCTGAGAACCAGAGGGACACTGAACATATCACCACAGAAAATGAAGGTACTAGAAAGGACTTTTCTCTGTAAAATAGTTTTAACTGTTCTATTAAGTCCTTTCCACATTAATTTGATCTATGAGTGAGTATTATTGTAACTGAATTTGGCTTGAAAAGTGTGTATGATTTAATCCCAGTCTGCTGAAGCTCAGCTCTGAATAGGTCTATGTCACTGGACTTAAGAGGTAGTAAAATAGATCTAAGGAGTTTTTTTAGCTATTTTGGAAAACTTCAGTACTTTTACATAAATGAATTGAAACTACCATAATGTATATCTAGATGTTAAGGTTAATCAGTATTTTCCATTTGAAATTGTACACTTAATGAAAACACCTTTCTCACAATGTTTAAAGTTGTTCATGAAAAACCCTATGTTAAATGGTGCTTTGAGCAAGAAAAGTATAGTACAACAAGCCTACACAAGCCACAAAACAATGATCAGCTTCAAAATATAGTATTCATTTTTTAATGATATGGTTAATGGATCCATTGTGGTGATCACAAATCAAAAAGATATTAATTTAGATATGAAAAAAGTGAAAATTAAATTAAGAATAAAACACCAGCCGCAGTGAGAATTTCAAGATTATTTTCTGTCATCATCTACACAAAACTAGAATTGAAGTTTTTTTGACTATAGGGACAATCATGAGAAACTATTTTGAGTGAAATGAAATAATTTTACCTAAAAGAAGTGGTGTGTCTTTTATTAAAATAAAATTTCCTTTGGAATTCTTAGGGAGGAAATGCTTGTCCCTCTTTGTACCTTCATGGCAAAGTAATTCACATTAATTTTCAGTCAATGAACCTTGTTTATATGCTGCCTACATGTTGCT